ACAATATCCTAGTCGACTATGTACTGGGAGGCAGAGTCCTCCACGAATCCAGCATCTTGTCGAGTATGTCAAGTCTTCTGAAACCTTTCGATTATACGCCATTCACCGTCCAATGCGGCCCAGGTCGGGACCGACAAGGGGTTCCCCAGTCCAGCCCACCAAGCCGGGAGTTGACATGGTGAGAGGCCCCTTAGCCGAGACACTGTCTTACTTGCCTCGCGTGAATCCCATCTAGATAGCTAGCTTCATGTGACACCCCATACGATTACCATCGGGATCTTAAATCGAGAGGGCGAGGCGGGTGAGTAGGGGTGACGATGTGGTGATGGACGGAGGCGATGGATTGGGCTTCAAATCCGGCTGGAAAGGTATGAAGGGGATCTGAGTGGGTGAGTCGAGGGTTGTATCGGGCGACAGAGAGGAGACTGGGTGGAGGAACCAATCAGAGACTAGGCGGATTGACTTAGGAGCCAGGAGGGAGCAAAGAAAGGGAGGGCGAAGAAGAAAGGAAGAAGGTGATCGACATCCCGCCAGTCGCTGACAATAGTCATATGTCTTCATTGAAGCCTTCACCGTCTCAAGATCTCAATGATTTCTTGTGATCACCAAAAAAACACCCAACACCACGGGCCCACGCCACGTCATCAAGCCACCACCGCTACCATCAATGTCACCACCATCGCTGTTGTCGTCGGCGCCGCCATTGTCGTCGCCATCGTAGTTGTTGTCGCTGCCACCGCCACAACCACCTCGCATAGTCGCACTCGGTTCTTCGCCGTGGTCTTGAGTGAGATAGATGATCCATATGTCATGTCACACATTGGGGATGTTTTTTCTAGGGGCTGCAAGAAAAGGCCATTTGAAAATCCAAATTTTTTACGAAAATGCTAAAGATATGACGTCAGATTTTAGGCATGACAAATCAAACATTTTTCATGACAATTTATACTGACGCGAGTCTGGCACACAAATGAACTGAAGTGGATTCGCTAACTAAACTGACGTTCGATTTGTCATGAAATAATGTTCGTTTTGACATGCCTAAAAATCTGATCGTTCGCTGGATATTCGGATTCAAAATTTATTACTGACCTGGTGAGACGTTTCAAAAAAAGAGCCCTGGTGAGATTTACTACCAAGGACTCGATCTTTGATGCCGGTTGGTACGGCTCCACGGTTCGCTGCCGTGCCACAGACCCACACTGACCGGACGAATTGCCCCGTCGTCTCTTGGTATAGCAACGGCATCCCCAGAGAGAACAAGACCGACCGAATCGCGATGGAGGCCTGGGTCCGCGCCGTCGTGGAGGCCATCCACTCGTCTCGAGCCCAAGCCGTCATCTATCTCGCCGGCGGCGCCTCCCAGGTACCGCCCTCTTCCTCTGCTCCCCCGCGGCAGCTCTACTGTAAATTTGTACTCGCCAGATTCCAACCGTTCGACAACCTCGACCGCCGCAGGCGCTCGGCTGGCTCCTGTCCGTGCCCGGCGCTTCTGGCAGCGTCCTCGAGGTCGTCGTGCCCTACTCCAGGGCCTCCATGGCGCAGCTGCTCGGCAAGGTAAACGCACCCGCATACTCTCGAACTCGAACTCCTTCGGACTTTGCTAGGCACTCATCAGACTGACTGACTGACCATGCTTTGGTTTCCAGTTGCCCCTGCAATTCACAAGCAAGCAGGCCGCAGAGGACATGGCACTGGCCGCGTTCAACCGTGCCCTGAAGCTTTCTGGACCAGGTCTCTGCCTCTTAACTTCAGAACGCTGGATCTGTAGATCATTCTGCACATGAGCTTACAGTTTGCACACAACATAATCTGTGTTTGCTATGAGTTTAAGTAATTGGGTGAGAATACTCGCAGGTCTACAAGTAATGGGTGTTGGATTTACTGGGTCGCTCGCTAGCTCACGCCCAAAACATGGTGACCACAGGTATTGCCTCGCTAACTCCCCTTTACAGTAGCAATAATTTGAGGAAGAAGGAAACCACCAAAGCTTTTAAAGTTATCCCTTGAGTGGTTCTACTTTTAGGTAATGTTTACAGTACCTCATCTCAAAAAAATAAAAATGTTTACAGTACCTAACCCAAAGCTTATCAGTCATTAGAGTTAGTTTTTTTTTGCGAGAAGTTATTAGATTTAGTTAGTTAACCGAGTACAAGTTTAAAACATTAAGTGCTCATCAAATTAGGGAAGTGATTATACTAGCATGTCGACATAACATGTGATATAATCATACATAAGCTAACCTGTTATTGAGACGAACGAACTTCTTGCTTACAATTTTTTTAATGTGCCTATGTCATTTAGAGCTTTCTTTCTCTAGTTTCTATGGCATAGGAGCCTGCATACATGATGTTTACACAAAATTCCCAGCTTTTGGGGTGGCAGGGCATCTAAGTTTGTTAAGTCTGCGTCTTTCTGCACTATATGATATTTGAAACTCATGTTCAAATAGGTTTTATGTGTCAACGCGCACACAAAATTGCCTCAGGACATCACATGTAACATTGTCGAAGGTACTACCAAAACTCTTTACTCTTAACAAAGCATTTCTCCTGGAGTCAATGTCATGATTATGCTTTGTTTCTCGGCAATTTTTGCATCCTGGCATTTACAGTACTTTTTTGAGACTATAGCATTTTTGTGTAGGGTTTACGGAGCAGAGAGGAAGAAGACAAGGTCTCAAGCTGTTTTGTGCTTAAGGTTTGTTATATATACTAGTTCTCACTGGTAACAGTTGATTGGGCATCAGATTAGCGAATAGGAGCAACCAATCCTGAGAGTGTGATCATCGTGTCAGGACTAACAGTACTTTTCCTTAAACGATATTCCCAGTTAGCTCTCCCTTATAAAAATCTACTGCTCTCCAGGCAATTGCAGATGCATGCAGAGTTTCTGCAACCATTCAGTCAGACGTTCAAGAACCTGAAATTCCAAAAGAAAGTGTGGAACAATTTGATGAAGACCAAGAGCTCCAGCAAGTTATTGATGGTCAAGTCTGCATGAAAGTTTACCACTTTGCTGGTATACCCGGACACTCAAAATTGCTCTCTTTTTCGTACTAGAATTGTTTCATTTTCATTCTTAATCATATTATTATTCGTCATTTGTAGATCCAACGGAAAAGAACTTCGACAGGAAACTAATTCTACCTGGTTCATTCAATCCCTTGCATGATGGCCACCTTAGGTTGTTAGAAGTTGCATCAAGGTGAGATGTAATCAAATCAAACATTTGCACAGCTGGATTATGTCATTCTAAAAATTAGCAAGGCGAAATATATTAAAATTATACAAAGTAATGTGGTTAAAATTTTCTCTGCTAAATTGGAAGGTGAGATAAAATGAAATTAACTATTTGTACAATTGAATTTTGTCATCCTAAAATTTATCAAGGTAAAAATATATAAAAATGGGTGCGGAGTAATGTGGTGTAAAATGTACTCTGTTAAGCTGGAGTGTTTTTTTACATCGATGACTTAATGGAAAACTGATAATGTAATAGCATTTCAATATAGCTGTTTGTGTAGCAAATATCTACATCGTTTTATTAAAACCTTTCGCTTGTTGAAGATCACAAACAGTAATTTTTTTTTTCATGAATGCCCTCTTGCAGCATGTGTGATGATGGGTTTCCGTGCTTTGAGATATCAGCAATAAATGCCGACAAACCCCCCCTGTCTATTGCAGAAATTAAGCACCGTGTTGAGCAATTCAGAAAAGCAGGTATGCATATGACTAACTGCTGTAGTGCAAAGTACTACAGTCATACTTGGATTTTCTTTCGAACTATTTATCACGCGGCCTGCTATTTTGCTATATTCCTAGTGCTCTTATTTGATTACTATGAATCTAATGAATGTGCTTTAGTTTGAGTTTACAGAGATATATAATTTTGCATTCACTCATATGTAGTCATCTTTGCTGATATATCGTTTAACAGTGATTCTGGGACCCAGATGTGTCCAGACATGTTTCTTACTCTGTTTCACCAATCACCATCTACTACCTCTGTTCCTTTGGCTTTGTGTGGCAAGATAAAACTATGTTTGTCTGCAAGGGAAAACTCATCCAATTAATGAGTGATTATGGGAGTCTTTGATTCTTTCTGATGCAGGGAAGAATGTGATCATATCTAACCAACCATACTTTTATAAGAAAGCAGAACTTTTCCCAGGCAGTGCTTTTATAATTGGTGCAGACACTGCAGCTAGGCTTGTAAATGTAAGTTTGCTGGAGCTGACCGTAAATCACAGAGCAGTTAGTTTGTTTTCTGAGATTAGCTTAACAACTGTTCCCTTTTTCATTAGATATAATTAATAATCAAATGCTTTGTGGCATTCTTCTAAATGAAAAGGCAGTGCTCCTGCCGGTTCCTCAGATTTTTTGTATACATAATTAATAATGAAATGCTTTGTGGCATTCTTTTTGTTTCTTATCAGCTTAATGCTTACTTCTGAATATGAAGTGTGATATGCCATTTAGTCATGTGAAAGAAAAACTCAGCGTCTACTGACATGGTTATAAGTGAAAAAAAAAACTGCTCAACTCAGCATTTACAGTATTGAGCTGTGTTAAGCCCAGATTGCATTTCTGCATTGGTTTCTACGAATGGACACACCCCTACCAAACATGTTAGTAAAATGATATATCCAATTCCAAAAGGAAGCCTTTTCCTACGCAAGCAAATCTTTTCAGCTAGGCACCTAGCATCACTGCAGCATTTAGTATAATTGTAAAAAGTGAAATTTCATGTGCAGCTGATTTAGATGCCATTATTGTAAGTTATAAACATAAAATGATTTGTTATTCAGGATATATTTGGCTGAGTCATATAATTCTCGAATTCAGTTATTGAATGCTATCTTAGAATGGATGTTCGACAATTGAGTGTTTTATTTTTCAAACTAAATGAAGTTTACTCATGGCAGCCTAAGTATTATGGAGGTGACTACAACAGAATGCTGGAGATTCTTCTTGAATGTAAAAGCACTGGCACAACATTTCTGGTTGGTGGTCGAGAGATTGAAGGAGTATTCAAGGTATGAAATGGCCTTGATGTTTTGTTTTACATGCACTGAAATTCTTTGTCTGCTCACGTACTTCACTATTTGTTTTGAAGGTCCTTGAAGAATTAAATATTCCAACAGAGTTGAAGGACATGTTTATCTCTATACCAGAGGAGAAGTTCCGCATAGACATTTCATCTACTGAATTAAGAAAAAAACAAGGGCTCTGACGTCTCGAACACTTGGTCCTATCCTACACCAGATTCAAGATGTTTGTCTCTCGGGCGAAGCTTTGCAAATAGTCATGGCAGTGTTTGATTTCATAGTTTTGCCATGCAAATAATAACTGTTATGTTTGTATTAGTAAAAGCAAAAACACATTCCATTAGTACTACAGATGTCAGAAGGCGATGATAGCCCAGTTTTTTTTTCTTGAAAGCCATGTAATCTTTCTGTTTGTCTTTTTGGGTATGCTGTTATTGGACACTTCATGTGTCATACATGTACAGACTCATCGGTGTCACAGTGGATACTGTTTTTGAGATTATAGCATCAGAGGTATTCTCACATAGATTGCTTCGCTGATGGAGTATGCTTGTATACATTAATAGGTACCGTACATCTGGATGCTAGCAGTCAGGTCTGAACTCAACTGGTGTTTCATCAACTTCGCTTATCTGGGACTTGGTTTGTGCAATCATATTTTCTTATAGCAGGTTCATTTTTCTTGAAATCTACTCCAGTATCTTGGTAGGAATTATTATTATGTCCTGACAGCTTCATGGAGTTTATTTTATCTGAATTTCGTCTTGACAGGGCCTCTTGGTATTTTGTTGAGCAAATTGGAATCAACCTTCTCATAGAACTTCTTGATGTCTTGGCCACCCCTTGCAACGAGATGGTCCACTTCTGTCTCGTAATGTTGGTACAACACTGGCAAAGTGTGGGCACACAAGAATCCTGTGAAAGTAAGAAACACATACTACTTGTTATACTATTTAGAAATTTCAGTTTTACATTTTTCTGTGAGACTGCATTAGTTTATGTGTTCTCCTAGCATCCTTTCTGTAGTTACTAGTTAGTTCTACCTTCTGTATTTGGTTTTGTTGAACGTTACTATTTCTGTTCTACTTACCAAGGTAGAGTAGGCTTGTGAAGCTGCAAGAACCTCCAATCACTGACAATAACAGCAGGGATCCTACCACCTTATAACAATAGAAACAATTTGAATGTCAGTACAAGTTTAAGTTGAGCAATAGCAAAATAACGTTGTGAATTATATTGGCTAAACGTTGTTTTGAGTGTCGTGTCATGTCTAATCTGGTTGATTCAGATCTCTTAAGTGTTTCTGTATTAATCCATAATATCGGTCTGGAACAAGACTTGTCACATGGTTTGTCTTTTCTTGACGAAGATAGCAAATAAGAGAATTTCGTACCATGAGAAATTTCTTCAGATCCTTTCCACATGCGATATCATAAAGAAGAGATGCAGCATATTCCAGTTTGTGGTGAATGGTCATGGCCATTTCTCTGAAGGCGTGTTCAGAGACGACGACTTGTGGTATCTTTGGCGGGGCCCTGCGATTTTAAATTGGTCAGCCGACCTTTTGAAATTCTTTAAAGCTAAATACTTGGGCAATTACTTGAAAAATAAATACTGGGATATCTCCTCTCTGTGGAAAGAAAAGAAGCCATGCCTGTCGAAGAGCGGCGCAGCATTTGAGGCAATGAAGATGGCAAGCATAGCGAAGATGGCGATCTGGCAAAGGAGCGGAACTGCATCGTATTCAACCACGTCGAACAGGAACCATGTCAACGTGGCCCCAGCGAGAACCCCAGCAGACACTTTCCTGTTCTTCCACAGCAGAATGTCCGCAGCTGCAATCAAAGCCCAACACCGGTGTTCGTAACTACTCCCACGACTTGGAGAGAAAACTATGGTAATGCAGAGTAATTGCCTAGAAACAGAACAAGAACGGCGTACCTTTCCCTCCGCCCAGGATCCGGTGGATCGATTTGTGCCTGTGGAACGGCCTCACGACGTGTGGCCCGTGGTCAGGATTGCTGGGAAAATGTGGCGGCATGGCTTCACGCGTTTGGGATGTCCACCTGATTGATTTGTTATGTCTGATCTTGCATAAATTGCGTCTTTATAGGCACCTAAATGCTAGTATGAGCTCTAAAGGGTAAGCCCATGTTGACAAGGAAAGGATAGCTTGGCCTATAGGAGGATGAGCCATTGAGGGAGGGGAATAAACGGATGCAGGGCAAGGGTTTCCTTGAACCAGATGTTTTCTTCGTCAGAGCCCAGACTAGAAGCAAGTTTAGCTGTTTGCCAGTAGTTTATGCCAGAAGCTTGCCGGAACTGCATCTTGATATTCTGTCAACATCAATGTGAACTCGCGACTGCACTCGCTGTCTCCTACTCAAGTGGAGAGCTTTTGTGACCCGGTGATGAAGATGCCGTCTTTCTTACTCCGCATTTCTCACGGTGCTCGTCCCAGCCGGCAGCCGTGTTGCTTCTTAGCCTCCTTACCCCAGAAACAACTATCGCCATTTCGCCATTGCTCAACGTCGGAAAATCTGTTCAACACCTGTGTTATCAACGCTTGGTTGAGTGTTTATAGACCAGACACTTTTATCGGTGTGCTCCGCGGTCACCCCACTTCAATTAGCAAACGTAATCTGCACAGCAAACCTTGGACATGTCTTGCTACGCAGCAGCAGCAGCGTGCTTCACGCTACCCGAGCTCCGGAGCAGTGCCGGAGTCCCAAGCACTCATGGGAATGCCCGTGCTCTACCGTTTACGCAACCGTGCAATGCAAAAGCTTTTAGTAAGTTTTAGCAGCACGGTTCCAGATAGAGCATGGCGCGGGTGCCGGGTGAGCTGTTCTCTTGCTACAAATAGTATGCCAACCCTCTCTTGTGCTCCCAAAACCAGACAGAGTCCACTGCAAAGAAGCCATGAAGCCCTGCGCGGTGCTGTTCCTCGTAGCCATGCTCGCCGCGTCCGGTGCGGTGGTGCGCGGGGCGCCCATGGCAGCGCGCTCGGAGTGCGACCCATGGGCGCTGCGGCCGTGCGCCCCGGTGATCCTCTGGAGCGCGCCCCCGTCCAGCGCGTGCTGCGCCAGGCTCCGGGAGCAGAGGCGGTGCCTGTGCACGTACGCCAGGGACCCCTACCTGGGCAAATACATCAACTCCCAGACCAGCAAGGAGGTCGCGGCTGCGTGTCGCGTGCGGGTTCCTATGTGCTAGGCTAGCTAGGAATACACGCGCGGCGTGGTTGTGTTAGCGCCGTGCTATTTTGCTGTGTTCGTCTTGGCCGTCTCCGTTTCTGACATGCTAGCTATTAGCAGTGCTTTGTGTGTCATGCCATCAAATGTGCGTGTGGTGATCGTGTCTTACTGTTTGTTTGTTTTCAACATATGGTTGCAAGATCAAGTTATCTGACACTGAAACAAGTCCTATTCTGACAACAACGAAGCGAAATGCTCATGTGCTCTCCTGAAATTTATTACACGACAAAAATCCAGAAGCAGCCGCAGTCCCCTGAACAGCATTTACAAGTACACCTATGTCTTTTACGCTTCATGAGGTTCTTCTCGGCAATTCCAGCTCCGCGCTGCTTCTCTCCAGCATCTCGACGACTGCGCTCATCGACGGCCGACTCGCCGGCGCGGTCTGAGAGCACCACAGCCCGACTATGATCATCTTCCTCACAAGCTCTCTGGTGTCGCCGTTGACGTCCGAAACGCTGTTGCAGAACTCATCCAGGTGCTCGTAGAGCCACTGGGCGAAATACTTGCTGGTCGTGTCAGCACCAACCTTGACGTGTCTCTTTGCCCTGACCATCTCCAGGACCATCACGCCGTAGCTGTACACGTCGGACTTGCTAGTGACCGGTCCGAATCTCCTGGACACCACCTCAGGTGCGTCGTAGTCATCTCTCTCCCTCACACCACGAGTAGATGTTTCGCATAGGTTTGCCACACCAACATCAGATATCTTGGGGCATAGCTCCTGATCCAGCAGAATGTTCCGGGGTTTGATGCTGATGTGCATGCCGTTAGCACTCTCATCGCCGTGGAGATGGTCAAGACCTCGCGCCACACCGATGGCGATGTCGAACAGTTTCTCCCAGTACAGCCATAGCGAGTAGTTCTCATCTACGGAATCGTCGCTGCTGAGAGCATAGCTTTCCAGGGAGCCGTTGGGCATGTACTCGTATATCAGGGCCCTCGTTGGCCCCTGCAAGCAAAACCCTAGCAGAGGAGCGACGTTGGCGTGAGATATTGCGCCGATGCTCTCGACCTCCTTCACGAAGTCCTTGCTGCTGCCTTTGCAGTTCTTCAGCACCTTCACTGTGATCTGCCGCGCATCGCGGAGGTTGCCTCTGTAGACATCGCCATGGCTGCCTTGGCCGAGCCTGTGAGCAAAGGTCTTTGTCATCCTTTCCACTTCAGAATAAGTGTATCTTTTTGGATGATGAGCTCCCAGTTTTGGCTCAGATGGCTCTTTGCTTGGAGGGGTGGTCGATCCCTCCACAGGAGGCGACAAGCCACGGTATTTCTTATGGCAGATGAAACAAGTGGTAAGAAGCAGGAGCAGCAGGAAGATGCCACCAATGACTCCTACTATTATATCTGTATAAACAACAGGGGGTTTAAAATGCAATGCATTGAAATGAAATGGCAAGGAAATCACCAACTTGCAAACTCTTGAGCTAGTCTATGTATGTACTGTCACTCTATGGGGTAAGGAAACATAGTCAGAAAAAAAAAGTAACAACTTACATATTCTCCTTTTGTAATCTGACGATGCGCCGTTCCCTGTAATTTTGTCAAACAAAACATTAGCTCATAAAATTTAGAATAAACGACGGCAAAACAATTCTCAATTGAAAAAATTGTTATCAGATCGGTGTAAGCCTGAAAGCAGAAGGTACTACCTGTGTTTTTGTTCCGGTTTTGCAAGTTGCTCTGCAGCTTGACGCTAAAGCCGGAGTCCTTGTCGTAGGAGCGGCTCCACAGCATGACCCCGCCGTAATTGGGCGCGCCTTCCACCAGCGGCAGCACCTGCGACACGAGCGTGTCCGCGTCGACGAACCCGCTGCTGGCGGCATCCCGCGACGCCGGCAGGCCGAGGTATACGCTCGCCGACGGCAGAGCCGCCGTCCACTGCCCCCACGCGCTCTGCAGCGTGCCCGCGTCTCCGTGCGCGAACTGGCACGGCGGGTTGTTGTAGAACTGCACCCACACGCGGTCGAACAGCCCCGTGGCGAGCGCGGTCTTGAGAGACGTGTCCGGGAACGGGCACTGCGGCGCCGCGGTGAGCATGTACTTCTTGCCGCCGGTGTCGCCCTTGTACAGCGACGTCAGGCTCCTGGCGAGGTCGTCGTAGTACAGAGACGGGGCCTCTATGTCGAAGTCGACACCGTCCAGCACCGCGTCGCCGAGCGGGCGGGGCGCGGCGGCGCCGGCGACGGTGCCGCCGAGGAAGTTGTCCCATAGGTAGGTTGCCACGTCCTGCGCGTCGGAGGGCGAGGACAGGTTGTACCCGAGCGCGCCGCCGCCCATGCTGAGCAGCACCTTCACGCCGGCGGACTGGCATGACGCGATGTCAGCGGCGAGAGACGCGCAAGTCCCCGAAGGGGGGTCGCAGTGGTCAGCGAGGTTGAGGACCGGAGCACGGCCGGCGCCGAAGATGGAGAGGAACGCGAGGTTGACGTACGCGTAGAGCCCGGTGCCGCATGTGTCCCTGAGCGTGCCCTCGGTGGCGTTCTGACCCCAGTAGACGGCGATGTTGGCGGACTCCGCCGCCGCCGCCGCGGCGAGGGCGGACGCCGCCAAGAGCAAGATCGTGAGAGTGCAGGGCTTCCCGGGCATTGTTAACGATGGCGAATGTCTTTTGTGGCGTGTGCTTATATATACGACATACATCCAGCAAGCATACGTGGAAGGAATGGTGTGGTTATTTTAGGATAAAGAATAGGGATGCTGCAAATGACAGGATTGTCGTGTTATCTCCTGTGCATGGAATAATCAGGAGACCAGCGGACATATGGAAGCTGCTCTGTTTGTCCCAATCGCAGCGGACATATGAGGTATTCAAACTGTTCTACAGATTATGCAACACAGGAGCAAGTGTGCGAGAACAATATAAACCCTATCAACTCAAGAGCACTTTCGGTGGCAATTCAAGGCCGGTTGTGCTCCCTTCAAGCATCTCGACGACTCTAGTCATTGTTGGACGATCTGCAGAACTTAACTGAATGCACCACAGCCCAACCACTATCATCTTCCTCACAACCTCCGTGATCTCTCCGTTAATCTCAGAAGCACTGATACAATATTCATCCAAGTGTTCATAAATCCACTGCGGGAAGTATTGGCTGCTAGATTCAGTATTTGGACTGATGTTCTTGTCCCTTGCCCCAACCATCTCAAGAACCATCATTCCATAGCTGTACACATCAGACTTGCTGCTTACTGCTCCAAATTGCTTCGAATAAACCTCCGGGGCAATATAGCCTATTGTTCCTCTTGCACCACCAATGGAGATGACACTTTCTTTATTGAGGCACAGCTTGGCCAGTCCGAAATCAGAGATCTTTGGGCAGAAATTTTGATCCAACAGAATGTTGTGGGGCTTGATATCAAAATGCACTATGCGAGTGTTGCATCCTCTGTGGAGATATTCGAGTCCTCGAGCAATTCCCACTGCTATTTCAAATAATTTCTCCCAACCTAAAATATTTCCACCTTGAGAGCCATCTTTGAAAGCATACCTTTCAAGTGAACCATTAGGCATGTAATCATAAATTAGTGCCCTTTTGGATCCTTCCAAGCAAAATCCTAAGAGAGTAACGACGTTGACATGAGAAGTTCTACTAATGCTAGCCAACTCATTGATGAAATCCTCGCCATCAGTCTTGAAGTCCTTTAGCATCTTCACTGCTATCTGACGACCATCAGAGAGGTCGCCTCTGTAAACAGCACCAAATCCACCTTGACCTAGCTTTTCAGCAAAAGATCTCGTCATTCTTTTCACTTGTGCGTAAGTGTACCTTTTCGGATGGACCGTTCCATTCTTTTGTAGGAAGGACTCAATCCTTGCTGTCTCCTTTGATTTCCCTTTGGATCTGTACTTCTTGTACCCCAACCAGAATGCAAAGAAGAGTAGGCATATTGAGCTGCCTGCTATTGTATCTGCATTTGGAGGGAGAAAGTCATCAAAAGGGGAGGCAACTTACACGATCTTCTAGTTAACAACTGGTTTATTTACATTTTGTTTACTGCATCACAGTAGAGGCATAAAATCAGTGCAACTATAGAAGAACACAATATCTAGAGTCACGCAGTACAGAGAACCTCGAGTTATTGAAGGCCATTGTTGATAAACCTACTGTATTGTATATTCTAAAAGGTTAGCTATATTATATTTGCATCATAAACTCTGAATTAGTCTGCATGTCATGAACTAGTGCCACTTTTCAGATAAACTGGACACGGTTGCTAAGTACTCCCTCCGTTCGGAATTACTCGTCGCGAAAATGGATGTATCTAGAACTAAAATACATCTAGATACATCCATTTCTGCGACAAGTAATTCCGAACGGAGGGAGTACATACATATGAAGCAGGGTTTGTTACAGATGCAATATGCAAAACAATTTATCATGTGGTTGAGAGATATTTCTTACATATTGTCATTGTTTTCTTCGAGTGTTGACGACCTGCAAAATTTGAACATGAGTGCCTATGAGTAGATGGAAGATGCATTTATTCACAAAATATAAACTTCACACTTCACAACTGATACAACAATTAGTTTACCATACGAATTTGAAAGGAAGGTAACATTAGTAATTTTATTGCAGGAACAACTAGTCCTCATTTCCCATGAATAAAAGTGGTCATCATTTCTATGTGCAAACTTTGACAGAGAATAGTTTTAACATTTCTATGTAACAGTCATTTCTTTAGTTTCTAAAAGAAAGAAAAATCGTCACTTGAAGTTGATCTTACTTCCTAGCCATAAAATCTGGACCTATTGTGAAGTCTCTTAACAATTTTAGGATCAATGGTGATGGATTTGTTTGAGATCAAAATGGTGTAACTGTTAATTGTCCACATACCACATGTCCTCTGTATTTCAGTGCAGATACATGTCAATGTGTAAGTGAGTATTGCCAAGTGACGAAAATGATTTACTCCCTCCGATCCACAATAATTGACTCAGCCTTTATTCAATATTGTATAAAGGTTGTACAAAGGCTGCGTCAATTAATTCGGATTGGAGGCAGTAATTATTTTTGCACATGAGAAAATGGCGATGATGCACTTTTGATTTTTTTCTAAGTTCACAATGCAATGCAGACCTAGACACATCATTCATTTCGATAAGTCATGCCCAAAGACAATAAGAGCAACTCTAATCCATCCCCAATAATTTCGTGAACTCCCAAAAAGAACTGCAATTTTCAGGAGTTGAGCCCATCTAACCCATCCCAAACACATGTCTAAATCCCAAAAGATTTTTGGGAGCTCCCAAAACACACCCTTCCTGAGGCTGATGCCGAGGAGGAGGCTCTAAACGCCACCATTGGTGCCTCTGTAGCCGAGGCTGGTGCCAGGTCCGTTGGAGAGAGGTTGAGGAGGCCCATCGGTGACCACATGTGTACTATTTATAATCAGTTTGATCAATGAAATATATTTCCTCCATTTCAAAATACTTAAAAGTTCTAGGTTTATCTTAACTCAAACATCTTTAAGTTTGATCAAGTCTATTGAAAAATATAGCAACATCTACAACACCAAATTAGTTCCATTAGATATATCACAAAATAAATTTGCATACACTATATATTTGATGTTTTAGATGTTTATATATTTTTTTGATATATATGATCTTCAGCGCAAGAAAGACTATGTTAGCACGGTGTTAGAGTCAAATCCATGGAATATCCAGTTCAGGCGAGCTCTGATCCGGGATAAGTGGACTGCGTGGGTGCATTTAGTTAGATGGTTGATATGTACTCCTATTAACCTTCTGGGGTTCTCACGGTCAAATCTGTGTATATGGATTTAATACTCTGGACCAATTATTTTGGAGGATTACTTCAAAATTAATTTGGAACCGAGAGATAGGTATTTGCTTCCAAAAAAAGTTGCAGGCTCTCTTGCACCTGATGAAACAAGTTGGCCCGAGAGAGCGTGGCAGAGACGGCAACTTCTTACAAAGAAAAAGCTTGAGATTCAAAGAACTTACGGGCTTTATTGCAATTATTATCGGAGTGTACTCGGCCGTCAGGGCACAAGCAGCCGATGAAATCCCCGGTCCGATTGTGACCGCACCGTCCCTTGGAATTGGCTCCCTCGCACTGGATACATGCCGGGGGCTTCCCGCTCTCGTTCCATCCCAGCTGGAATTCCTGACGAAGAACACTGGCATATTCACTCCCGTTTGTCCATCCAGGGTCAGTAAGGTTGATTGCGCCGTATTTGTGCACAGGCAATTGTATGACCTGGCTGCACGCCTGCACCCAGTTGCCGGCGGGCACTGCATCATCCGGAAGCACAAACGATAGCCCAGGACCAGGACCATCGTCAAAGCTTTCGCAGCTGATCGGGTAGATGCTACTCGGTTTGTAGAAGGTAAAGTTGAAGTTGCAGCCGATGAAGAAGATAAGGTAATCGACCGCGCTGTCAGGAAAGTACAGCAACGATCCCTCTTGCAAAGTGACGTTGCGGTCGATTCTTGGTCTCGGGCAGGGGTTGCGGTCGTCGTCGACGTTCGGGTCGGCTAGAGAGACGGTTGCGAGCGCGCCGTCGATGCTCTTGACCGTGTAGTTGGCGGCTCCGTTGAGCTGCAGGATGGGCTTGTCGTCGTCCTCGCAGAGGATCCCCAGGCCAGGGTATCCGCAGTAGGAGTTGTCGTAGCCCTTAGCATCTTTTGTCTCCCCGGCGAGATAGAACGGGTAGGTGATGCTCACGCTTCCGCAGGTGTATTTTTGATTCAGGCACATGGAGGGGTCGTAAGCACCATCATCAGATGAATCGCCATGGGAGGCGGTAATGGCAACCAAGAGGAGAAGCAGCAGCAGCTGGTGGTGGTGGTGGCTTAGCAAGAGAGGCATGGCTGCTTGGCTAGCTAAGTCAGCGGTAGTGTTCCATTCTCTGCTTTGATCTTTAAACCGGTGGTTCGCTGCCCGCCCGCATGCCTTTGTTTACGGGTTGCGAGAATGCGAGGGCTCTTGGTCCTGGATAGAAGTTTCGGAGAAGGATGGGCATGATCTTGCCGGTCATCCGTATCTTGGCGCCAGAATAGTCAGTCGTCTGCCATCTCTATCTCTCGAGTTTGTTCCGTTGAGAGTTGAAGACTAGTGTGCGTCTATAATTTGACTGATCTACACCCACATAATAATTTCCTGAGACGGGCATTTCCTTCCGTTCCCAATGAAAATTATCTATGTATTTTGGAATTTCAAAGTGCATACATATAAGCGATACACTTCAACTAACCTTAGCATGCTAAAACTATATTTGAAAAGAAGTACCGAGAGCAGGATGCGGCAAGATGGTTAGACCAAATGGCAAATGAGCTTTCAATTGTTGGTTTTTACGGCTTTTATTGTCTTCTTGAAAAGGGGATCCCCGACGGAAATCATAAACGAGCCCAGGTTCAAAGCAGAAAAATCTCCAAAACAAACCAACCGAGCCACAGCTTCAAAGGCTCAAGAGCCACTGCTAGCCTCCTGTTACTGACGCACCGCAGCTTATGTATAACAACTAAAAAAACGCTGTGTCTGTAGACAGGATAAGTTTTGCACAAGTTTGCTTGATGGAGGTTATCTTCTGGCGAAATGGCAATTGGCAAGCGAGGGATGCTGTCGGCCGTTTGTTTTCAGATGGCAACTAAGGCCCTGTTCGACAATCACCCGCTCCAGGAATCCGCGGAGCGGGGAAACAACAGCTCCTCCGATTTAAACTACAGCTCCGCCAACTCCGCTCCCGGAGTTATGGAGCGGAGCAGTACCGAACAGGGCCTAAAATTGAAGGACCAGTTGTAATCCAAAAATTAAATTAAATTGAAAGACCAGTTGTGAAGGACTTGCCTGATGATGGAGGTTTTGGATACGCAGCGGTGGCGTCGCTGCTGCTGCAAATCCCGCCGGAGCACAAGCAAGAAAGGAATTCCTTCTTCTCGTTGTAGGCGCACAGTCCCTTGCGGGATTCCTCGCACAGGTTGCATTGCTGCTCCTTGCTCTGCTTCCATTCCAACTCGAACCCTTGCTCAAGCACGACACCGTAATCCCTCGGCAACACGAGCGGACCACTTCTCAGAGCATTTTTCTCGAGTACCGGCACGATGACCTTGCGCTTGCAGTACTCAGCCAGTTCGTACTCTCGAGAAACGTTGCCTTCCTCAGAGGTGAAGACGAAGGAAACACCGTCTCCGCTGCCTGCAGGTGGATTGAACCCTTTGCAGTCGATCTGGAACGTTTCTACCAGAGAATCAGGAGGCTGATGATCGGAGTAACAGCCGAAGAAGAAGGTGAGCTCCTCCAAGGAGTCGGTGTAGTTCAGCCACTCCCTGTCGAATGTCACGTTGTGGCTGACCGTGGGGCACTTGCCGCCGCTAATGAGGGCTTCAGTGTCCCTGAGAATAATGGCGTGATTTTCGTAGAAGATGTTCAGAACGGTGTAGTTGTGTAACTCGTCTTGGCCGAGCTGAAGGATTGCGATCGCGGTTGCCCCCTCGCCTTGGCAGAAGATCTTCAAATCGGTGTAGCCGCATGAGTAGGATGTGTAATCGGGGGCAGCTTCCGTCGAGTTTGACAGATAGAATGGATATCTGATATCAACGCTGCCACACCTGAAGGACTCCAAGCACACGGAATCATTGTAGGCATTAGACGGTGGAAGAGGGGAGCCGTGGCAGGCGAGGAAGACATGGACGGCGAGGAAGAGGAGGAAGAGCGAGTGTGGTGGCACTGGCAGGTGAGCCATTAGCGAGACGAGGAAGACGAGTCTGCCTGTTTTCTGCTCAGTCCTACACGCCACTGGTTTGGGCGAGCGCCGACGTATTTAAATCGCGGGCACGACTGGGTATGGTGGAAATTTTGCTTGGTTGGTGCGCCACTTGGACTAGGGTTAGCTGATTAGAGGAAGACAGAAGCAAGTTGGTGTCTGTACGTCATGTCATG